GAAGGAGAAAATCTTATCAGACATGGTGATAATAGGGGGGGGGGGGGGGGGGGGGGGGGGGGGATGTTGCTGCTGCCTCGGGGCCTGCTCTCGGCGATCAGCTGCGGGGGAGGAGGTGGACGCGGCGGGGCAAGGGACAGAGGAGGAGGAGGGAGAGGGGGCGAGGGAAAGGGGGAGGAGCGGTGCCTGGTCTTCTCTGTCGGCGATCAGGCACCAACAGACAACCAGATGAGCCCCTCCTCGTTCGCCGGGCCCGGGCCCGGGCCTGGGGGCTCGCCACGGTCGCCGGACAGTGACCCTCTGCTCGGGGCCTGTCCCGCGCGGTGGGACGAAAATCCCGCGCCTCCTTCCTTTCCCAGCCGATCCTGGGCCCCCCGGAGGGAGGGCGTGCACACGCGGAAGGGTTCACACGAGGGAAACCCGCATGCCCAGTTCGCGGTCCACCCCGCACCTCTCCCCCCGCACCTCCCCGCGAAAGGAGGCCCTCCTCGAGGCAGAAAACCGCGGGGGGGGGGGGGGGGGGCGCCCCCCGTCCCCGTGTCCCCCCCCCCCGCTCCCCTTCCCTGAGAAGGGCCACAAAAGGGGAAACGCGCGACCAGCCATGCGGGCGTATAAAACCGAAAAAAGAGGAAAAAAAAGTCCACGGATAAAGTAGTCCCCCCGGGAAGCTGCCCATGCTTGCACGCTGCGTATCCCCGGTCACGAGCATATCCACGTGCCACAAGGACGACCATTCCGAACGGACAAATTAAGACTAGGCCCGTAGACGGGGATAGTGCCTGGTCTTGGGCAGGAGGGCTGGGAGACACCACCCCCTGGCCGCGCCCCGGGAAAATGCCCGGCCCATGGTGGAGGCACGGCGCAATCCCCTCGACGCGGCGTAAGGCCCTCTCCCCTCCGCCGCCGCACAAGACCACATCGTCCTTCTTGAGGAGGGGGAGCTTGGAGTCGCGGGGAATGCGCCTTGCCGTCGAGAGAAGACAGTGCACGCGCGCGCACCACCCCGGGCACCAAAAAGTATGACTCTCCTTTGCACGGATCTGTTTCCCTCCATGTACCTCTCCCCCCGTCCTCTTCTCTCTCTCTCTCTCTCTCTCTCGGATGTCGGTGCCCGCAGCCCTTTTGGTCCACACACGGGTTCCGAAAAAACGCTTGACCCAGGGGGGGAGAGGTGTGTGCCCGCGCCCCCCCTCCCGCCCCCAACGACTCCCTCACTGTGGGTTTTCAATTTTTTGTAAAAAAGGGTGATATGTAGTCTGATGTCGACTCGATTTCCCATTGTAAGAAACCGGTTCCTTTCCAGACGATTCAATCTTGTTCCAAAGATAGTCACCGTGGTGAGTATCCTGGCAATGATTTGCCTTTGGGCCCCCGGTAAGGGGAGCAATGGCAGTCATCGTGGCATTGGAACGTTTGCTTTATGCAGCATCCCTGGTGGAGAGAGGCCCACAACCGAGGCACTTTTAAGGGCGCATGTTACCCCGGGCGAGGGCGCACAAAAGATCGGCCCTCAGTTTTCTCCTACGTTGGCATCTGGGGCGCGCCTCTCCCCGCCCTCGATTGTTGGAGGGCCGGCCTGCGCACCGAAGCCCCGGCTGCACACGGCACGCCAAACACCTCCCAATGTTCCTCCCGGGCTCACACTCCTGCGGCGCCTTTTTTTTTTTTCCCCCCGCCCCCTTTCTCATCCCCTCCGCCGTCAGCGACCCCCGCCACTGGTTCTGCCTCCTTTTCCCCCTCGGACCTCGCGAGCCATGGGCTTCAACACCTTCCTCAGCAAGCAGCAGCAGAAGGAGCAGGAGATCTGCGTTCTAGTGCTGTGCGTGCCCTCTTCCGTGCATCCCTCCTTCTTGCCTTCTTTTCTCGCCCTCCCCCCCCCCGTCCTGCTGGTCTTTCTGGCTTCCCGGCTCTGCCGCCCTCTCACCCGCATGTGGCTCTGCGTTCGCACTCCCGCCAGTGGCCTCGACAATGCCGGCAAGACCACCGTCACGCACGCCCTCCTGGGATCGGACACGGCCGGCATTGAACCCACCTTCGGCTTCAACATCCGCTCACACGAGATCGATGGGTACGTCCGCTGCCCCTCGGCCCGTGGCCTGCCCGTCGCCCCCGCCCCCCTCTCCCCACCGGCCAAACACCCGAGCTGACACACCCTGGCCCTGCGTCCCCCCTCCGCCCCTTCACCCCCTCCGTCTCGGTGGGAGGATCAGGTTCACGCTGAACATCTGGGACGTCGGCGGCCAGCGGACCCTGCGATCCTTCTGGCGGAATTACTTCTATGCGGCCGAGGCCCTGGTGTGGGTGGTGGATGCGTCGGACCCCCGGCGCCTGGCCGACTGCCGCAGTGAGCTATCCAGCATCCTCCAGGAGGAGAGCCAGATCTGCACCACCCTGCTGATCCTGGCCAACAAGCAGGACATGCCCGGAGCCCTGCCTCCGGAGCGCGTGGCCGCCGAACTGGGCCTCGGCGAGGCTCCGACGGCACCGCCTCCCGGGCACCCGGCTGAGCTGCCCGGTCCGCGGCCTCAACGACAGTGGGCCATTTTCGGGTGCAGCGCCCACACGCCGGCCGGACAGCAGCAAATCCAACAGGCCTTCCGGTGGCTGGTGGCCGAGGTGGCCAGCCGGGTATCTTTGCCCAAATGAAAGGATTGTCCTCGCTCAAGCTGCATGCACATTTGAATGTCGGCGTGTGTTGGCTTCCGCCAGAGAAGGAAGGAAGGGGGGGGGGGAGACAGCAACGTGGAATGGATGCACGCGAGCTGGGAGATAATTATTTGTCTATTTGAGTCGTTCAGGACAGGGAGGAGCAGGGGGGGGGGGGAGCTGCATGATGGCGGGAGTGACGTGCACAGGGGGTGTGTGCGAAGCTCGCACAGCTCATGCTGGCGGGCATCATCACAAGGATGAGAGGGAACAAGGGAATGGTGGAGGGGCGCAACGGTGCAGCAGAAACTGAGGGTGGCCACAGGTGCTGTTCTCGTAAAGGGACGGGCAAGGGAGGGGGAGAGGAAGACAGAAGGGGGGGGGGGGGCGAGCAACAGCAGCAGCAGAGTAGCCTAGCCGCTTGCCAGCCATACACACATGCACGCATAGCCCCCCTAGTTGGAGGCCAGCTGCGCCGGGGTCTCATCCTCCTTCTCGTACTCGATCTCGAGGAAGCTGCCACCGGCGCCATGCACGCGACGCTTGGCGGCGGGGCCGCCGGACTTCTGCGAGCCGGCCGAGCGCTTCTTGCTGCCGGGGGCCGGGGCCGCGGGGGCCTCCTCATCATCGGACGCGCCCCACGAATCGTTCAGGGGGAACTCCTCCAGGTCATCCTCATCGTCCGAGCCGTCGGGGCCATTCTCGACCCATTCGCCCTCGAGATCCTCCTCGTCTTCCTCCTCCTGCTCGTAGAGAGTGTCATCGTCCGAGCCGGAGGAGTAGTCCTCGTCGTCCGAGGAGTAGACCGCCTCGAAGTCGGCGTCATCCTCGAGCTCGAGCTCGGCCTCCTCCTCCTCCAGCTCGTCCTCGATCTCGTCCTCGACCGTTTGCTGGTCCAGGGCCGAGGTGAAGGCCGACTGGTTGAAGTTGTAGATGTCACCGTAGGTTCCGCTCTGCAGACGCTGGAGCAGCTCCTTCTCGATGGTGTTCTCGAGCTTGGCCGCGTTGAGGGCCTTGGCCTCGCGCGAGCGCAGCCGACGCTCGACCTTCCGGCTGACGGGGATGAGCTTGACCCTGGACGTGGGTGCCGGCCGGGCAGCCAGGCGCCACAAAAGGAGAGGCAGGGGTCAGGGTTTGGTCTCCGAAGCGTGGCACATGATGGCATTGCATGTGCGTGTATAAATATGCGTAAAGATAAATCCATGTGTGTGTGTGTGTGTGTGCGTGTGTGTGTGTGTGTGCGTGTGTGTGTGTGCGTGTGTGTGTGTGTGTGCGTGTGTGTGTGCGTGCGTGCGTGTGTGCGTGTGCATGCGCGTGTGCAAAACTCGGCCACGCACTTCTCGGTCTTCTTGGCCAGGTTCCGCGCGCGGACCAGGTACTGCGCCATCTTGGTCAGGCGCTGCTTGCACTTGTTCCGCAGGAAGGAGGGCCAGTAGCGCAGCGTGGTGTGGACCTGCTCCATGGCCTTGGCGTAGTTCTTGGACAGCTTCAGGCGGTGCCACATCTTGGCCGGGGTGTGGATACGCTCGATGGTCTTGGTGTAGAGGTACAGAATGCCTGCACAAAGAGAGAGGGAGAAGGGGATGGAGGGGGAGGGTGTGTTATTCGGGTCAGGGGCCGGAGCCAGGCTCAGAATCCAAGTGCAGCACGTGGGACGCACCCTCCTCCTCGATCACAGTGGCGTACTGGCTGTTGGCCAGGGGGCAGGCGTCACGGCGGCACTCACCGGTGACATTGTACTTGTTGCGGCAGAACTTTTTCCCGGTATCAAGCCTGGGCCAGGCGAGTGTGCAGGGCGAAAGGTGAGATGGCTGGCAGCGGCAAATAAGAGGGGGGGCGGGGGGGAGTGCGGCACGCATAGGGAACCGGGGCTACCCCCTCGGAGACCGCACGCACTTGACCTTGTACGAGCAAAACTGACGGTCAATGATCGACCAGATGACCTCGTCGCTCTGCATGGTGGCGTTGTGGGATTATGGGGCAGCGGCCAGCGGGGATGCGGGTGAAAATGTGGAGGAGAGGGGAAGGGAGCAAGGGCCAGGTGACGGCGGCGGCGGCGGCGGCGGCGAGGGCACGCGGGCACAGGGCAGGGAGGGGGAGGGGGGGGGGAGCGGAGGGGATGGATTGTGTGGGGCTGGGGAGGGGGAGAGGGGAAGGGTGCTACCACGCTGGCCCGGCCTCCGCGGAACGGGTGGCCGATGAGGCTCAGCCGACGCAGATCGACACCCCGCGTGCCGGTGGCCGCCACAAAGCAGGCCTGCTGGCACCGCCTTCCCTGGCTGTGAGTGTGTGCGCGTGTGGGGTGGGAGGGAGGGCGGGCATGCGCGCGCGCGTCCGCGCGCCGAGAGCTTTCCGGGCCAGGGAGAGATCCCCGCGCGCGGGGCCGGGAGGACACCACGAGTGCGGGAACGGCACGTGACACGAATCGACACATGGACAAATGGTACAACAACCCCCCTCTCCTATAATCCCCAGGGCGGGCGACCTGGCAACTGGCTCCCTGGTGCGCTCCGGGTGGGTGCGTCCCCTGTTCAAGCATACTTCTGTGCGGCGGGAGCATCGGCGCCCGGACGCTCGGTCCTTCGGTCTGCAAGTGGGGGAGGTCCCCTGGCCTTTGGCATGCCCCGTGCGGCCTCGACGCCCTCGGGTCTCCCCCTGCCCGGGGTCGCCTTGGCCCGCGCGCCGTGCAGACTGGGCGTGTGGGGCGCTGTGAGCCGAGGGACGCACGGTCGCCCCGTGGTGTGCTCCTCTTCTCTCCGGGTGCTGTAGGACCGCGCGCGCGCGCACGGAGATGGCGTGCTCCGACCATTGGCAGGTAGACCGCAGATCGCAACGCCGCCCCGCCCCTGACGTACACGCATGCTCAGGAACAACACACACACACACGCACGCACGCACGCACGCACGCCAGGGCGACTGGCCGCTGTATACACACACACACACACACACACACACACACACTTGTACCCTCCCCCACCTTGCACACGCACATATACATGTGCACAAGGGCCGCATTGGCGGCAGGATGGCAGCTGCCCTTCAATCATTCGATCAACAACTCCTCCCCTTCCCGACATCCCTCCGCCCCTCTCCCCACCCCTCCCCCCGTCCCCGCCCCCGCCCACCCTTTCCTCTACAACCACACACATCTACGCCCGCGCACCCACAGCATGCTCCACCGGAAGCGTTTGAATGCCCTGCTCGATACGGATCCCACGCCGGAGCATGAGCGCCAGGTAGTGGCTCTGGTCACCCAGTCCACCGGGGGCAACCAGTTCCGCCTGGCCTTGGCCCCTTCCTCTGAGCACCTTGTCCCGGCGGGATCCAACATCGCCGAAGCCCCCGGGCAGGTGGAGATCCTGGCCCAGCTGCAGCCCAAGCTTCGCGGGACCCTCTGGATCCGGAGCAGTGACTTTGTTGTGGCCGAGATCGCCGAGACCCCCGGGGTCGGGGGCAAGCGCGTCGGCACCATCCTGCATGTCCTCCGAGCGGAGCACGTCCGCCGCTTCAAGGCCCAGGGGATCTGGTGCGTCTGTGTTTCCCTCATCCTATTTCTACCTCTCTCCCTCTCCCTCTCCCTCTCTCTCTCTCTCTCTCAGACATAGACACATGCCTATCCTCCTACTTTCCCCCTTGGTACTTGCCGCGGCATGCCACTAAACTATCCTCCTCCTCCTCCACCACCATGTCCCCCAGGCCGGCCGATCTGCCCGAGCCGAAGCGCGTCTCCGCCGCCTCGGACAGCGAGGACTGCGATGCCGCCGGGCCCGAGAGCGAGTTCCGCTTCTCCAATTACCACGGCGAGCGCCACCACCACTCCTCCGACGATGAAGGCTCCGGTGCTGATACCGGTTCCGACAGCGATGGCACCGAGGACGATGAGGATGGCTCCGACGGCGACGACACCGATACCGATGCCCACATGGCCGCCAGGCTGGGCGCCATGCTCGGGAGGCGGTAGGCAGGGCTCTCGGTCAACATACATGCAGGGTGACCATCCCTCCTGCCGCAAGATGTGGATTCTCCCTCTTCCTCTCTCTCTCTCACTCCTTCAATATATCTGTTGCCTCTTGTTCTCCACGGATATCCCCTCCCTCCCTCCCTCTCTCTCTCTCTCTCTCCCCTCTGGCATCGGGTCTTTGCCCCCTCTTCCTCTCCGTGGCGCGTGGTAGTGTGCACAACGGCACCGACATCTCGCCTGGCGACCAGAAATCCACCTTGCCAATGTTCTGGAATCGGCAGAATCTGCCCACCTGGAATCACGGGAAAGTTTAACCCAGCTGTCAGCTGATCGGGCCCTTGTCAAAATACTTCTCCCGGAGCCGCGACCATTCTGCGAGCGAGCGAGCGGGCCGGGGAGGGGGGCTGGGACATTATTTTTTTTCTCCCTGCACACTGTTGGCCTCAACGAAACACACTCCCCTCTCCCCGGGGGGGCGAAGCAGAAGGGCGGAGGTCGCATCTTCTTTTGGGAGCCAGTGCCAGACGTTTCCGGGAGCCCCTGCGAGCCCTCCCCAACTGTCCTGGCGCCGCCGATCGGGGGCATGGGCAGGGGGGGGGGGCGAGGGGCGGGGCGGCGGGACGAGCGAACCCAAGGATCCAACCTGAGGCTCGGTGCGCCTGGAGAGTGCCCTGCCGGCCGCGGGTCGCCTGCCTATTCGTCCGTGGGCCTGAAAGCGGCTTTCCTTAATCGTGGAGTATGGCTGTTGGCTCGAGAGTGCGTTGGACACGGATACATCCTTGCCCGGAGGGGGGTCTCGTCTAGGCGGTTGAGTGAACATCATACTCCCTGCTGGGCAATGTGAGCCCTTCAGATCGCCGCTAGCATTTGCTCGTTTGTGCACGTACGTGCACAAACGGACTCGCACCATGTCTGACCCGGGGGATATGACACCGCTCTTTTTTCCCCTCCCTCACCTCGTCTTATGGGATCTGGTCTCTCCTGTTTGTGATCCCCGATGAAGCTGAAGGGGCCCCTCCTGCGGGCCTCCTGAGCCCGGGTGTGGTACCTCGCTTCGTCCTTGCTTCTCTGGCCCTCGCTCCGCCCCCTATTTTCCCTTACTCCCCGTCGCGCGCTCCCCACTCCCGCCTCCCCTCCCTCTCTCTCCCCTCTCCTCGCTGCCCTCTTTCGCGCTGTCCCCGGCGGCTCTCCCCTCGCTCCTTCCCCCCCCCCC